CTTATAATAGAATCTCCCCAGTTTTGAAAACTATGAACTCCGGTTATTGGTTATACTTAGAAAAATTAAAGGTCAAAAATGAAATGCACTTTTCTCATTAAATACATAGAAATTAGAGTTCAAAACTCCCTGACTTCAATTTGTTACATTATAATCCTTATTCCTGGAGGGTGGAGTGTCTGTTCAGGAAACCACTGCATGACCCAAGATCAAGGTTCCCCAGGTGGCTGAGATAACTGTCACCTCCATTCTTGAACCACGCTTCCGCTTCCTGCAATCTGTTCTTCTATGGTTCTCAGGGGCAAGTGTGCTGATAAAAGGAGCCCAAGTAAGGTTTGAGAGGCAGAAGAGCCACAGAAGTCATTGTCCTCAAGGCATGGGGGGACAGTGGTCAGACACATGGCTTACCATGCTCTCAATGAGCTAACTTGTTTGGGGACCATTTTGGAGACTTAATGGAGTGGATTCTTGGCCTTCCTTGCCAAACTCCAGGCAGGTGTCCTTGGGGACTATGTCTCTGTCCTCCAGCTGCAGCTGTACCAGCCCTTCCCACATCAGTATAAGCCCCAATTTCCATATTAAATCCCTTATTCCTCTAATGCTTGTAGTGGCTCCGACTGATCTTAGCAGAGACACCAGGCAAGTACAAACATCATTTTCGTGAAAGAACAACTTATTAGACTGAAGCCAAGTCAGCAAGTGGGTCAAGACATTCCCATCAAGTCATCTCCTAGCAACTGATTCTACCTAGAGGGATGAGTTATTTGAGCAGTTTATTTTTCACTTAAAAGGAGGACAACACCAACACTGCCTTGTCTCTATGTAACTTCTTTAACTCTCTTCTGTGTTTGCACAAGGTGTCAGTTCCTTATCTCCAAACTGGGGACGCCACCATCTCCAAACAGCATCTGTGGTCCTATACCTAGCAAATTGCCAGGTGTGTCCATGTGCTTTTAGTTGAGTCACAGGCTAGTATACCAGGAACACAGTTCCAAGATGATGGTCTGGCTCAAGTTCCCTTGCAAAAAAAAATCACACCTCATGTAGGGGCCCCAGATGGACATGTGTTTGGTTATCACTTCAATCTCTGGTTCCTATTCTGCCCATTCTGATGTATTCTTTCTAATTTCAAGGTATTTCTGACTCATCTCCTGATCATGTTATCTTAGGTCTAAATAAGATTTATATTCACATTTTATGAACACACTTCCCAATGTACCTTCTCAGGTTCCCAAGTACCATTTTGATTCAGGAATCATTTAAAATCACTGGAGTGGTAGCTATGCCTTGGTCTGGTACTTATGTCTTCAGGAGTCTCAGGGTGGCCCCAGCAGAAGTCCTAGAGACATCAATATCAAGGTTCCAAATAGATGTGGTTCCTGATGGGAAAGAATATTCTACATATCCAGAGAAGCACCCTTCTTTTAGTAGAGGGGATGGCAAGAACAAAGGCCCTGGTTGGGGATGTATCTGGTGGTCTAAGAAGAAGTGAGATGGTCAAGATTGCTGGAGAAAAACTAAGGGAGAGGGGTGAGGAATAGTTAAGGGCAGATATTTTGTGGGGAGCCAGATGGCATAAGGTCCTATAGATCACCATTTTGACTTTTATCCTGAGTGATTGAATGTTACTCAAAGATTTTGAGGACAGGCTGAAGGGAGGCAATCTAGGGGAGAGGCCAAGGGCTGTGTAGGGTTGAGAAACCTTCCACAGGGCCCACATTTGCACCTGACACAGACATTTTCACTAGATCCTGGACTTTGATTATATGGGATGGTTGGCTGTCTTCTTTCAGAAGGAGTGCATTCTGTGTGCACAAAGAAGAATGCAAACATTTATTTGGTGACCAGCACCAAAATCATCTTCTGGTTCTTCCTGGACACATGCCAATCTAGTTTCTTAGCCTCTGTTTCAGGAAAGTGTGACTATGGGGCTGACCTCCGGTGGACAGTGGAATGTGAATGGTGGTGTGTGCTGCTTCCAGGTCTGGCCCATAAACACTGCCTGTCTTGGCACCTTGGTGTGCCTTTCCTTCCGTTGGCTCACTGGATGACTCACCAGGGTGAACTTGGAAGTCATGTAAAGTCAAATATAGCTTGGTACTGGAACTGTGAAGTGAATCATCTTGCTCTAACTATAAAGCCAGACCAGCTGAGGCATGGATCGTATTTCAACAGACATGCTTCCCCCAATGTCACATCCCGGTCCCTCATGGTCAAGCCTTCAAATCTGATGGGGATTCAGCCCATCAGCTCCTGTGACACCAGCTGACCCAGAATTTCCAAGGGGTGATTCTCCACATATTGATGTATTCTAATTCCTAGGTGTAGTAAAAGGGTTAACTATGGAAAACCTAGTTAACAATATACATAGGTGTGTCTAAGTCTTGGATAGCTTGACCAAGGTGACACATAAGAATGTATCTCTGGTTTGTCACCTTAAAAATACCATGTAGGTTGAGAGATCTCTGGTGGGATAATTGCCCAATTTCAGCACCTTCAGTGGTTTGTAAGAGAGTCTTGGAGCCCACAAGTTATTTCAGATATTTTTAGGAAAGAATTCCACCCATGTGGCTTTATTCATGTTTGCGTGATGAATGATTTCATGTGAACCATCTCTGGAAAGCACATGTGACGTTAATCTAATATGCATGTAACTTGAGGCTGACCTTGCCTCCAAAGAAAGGCTGTTAAGAAATCTCCTGAAATATTCAGTGCAACACTGACCCTGCTTCTTTCAAAACATTTAATGTCTGTCCATGTTGCCTGAAGCTTACAGGTGCATGCTGTTTTCTTGTATTTATTAAAAAGTATGCCAACCAGTTGTGAGGCCTTTTCCTTAGTGAGGCCCTAGAGTAAGAGTAGATATTTTGATCCTTTACTACTGGGTCTTCCATATAGTAACTGCCCATTTTCCTACTGCACATAATTCAGGTGGGGCTATCAATTAAGGGACAGAGTCCAGCTCATTGTAGTGGTTACCTGACCAACGATGGTCAAGCATGAATCAGTTTGAAGGAGTTTCAGTAGATTCTGGAAGATAATATCTCTTCTAAGATCATGAACCTGGATTCTCTGATACCCTCTTTTTCATGAAGCCAACTGCTACACAAAACAAGACTGAGAAACTGGTGAGGGACAAATTGATTCCTAATGGCAGCTGTCAGCATTTGGATTTAGCTGTGCTTAAAACCAAGCATTCCAGACTCTTGGAGTTGGTTGCATTAGATAATTCACCGTGTGAAATTTAATGATTAATCTCATGAGTTTTTTTTTATTACTTATAAGTGGAAATTTTAATTAATGTCCCATGAACTATAGGATGGCAAGAGAGTCAGTATATTTTTCTCACTGGCCTTTCTCTTGAGGGTCTCATTGCCTGTATATCTTTTCTTTATATATACACATTATTCTTCCATTGCAACCACATGAATGGATCTCTTATTTTCTTTACCTCTGAAGGCACTGCCTTCCCTGTGTGTTGCAAGCTAAATGAAGAAGATGAACAATTTCTCCCAGCTCACTCATTCTCATGGACTTTCTCTAAGAGACTTTGTTTGAGTTTATGACCTTGAAAAATTCCCACTGGGAGTAGTTTCTCCACTAGGATCTTAATGTTCAACCCAACCATTTAGGACCACATTAAGAAAGCTTCTATTCATTTCAATCCTGTATTTTCTTATTCATTGGTAAAGCGATAATAGGGTCATTTCCTATTCATTTCAAAGGGCCTTTGTCTGTTCCATTAACAGCACTGTTTCTGTTCTATAGTGCCCTTAGCTTTAGATTCATAAACCCAATGTAGACATGATCCTTTAGACCAAGGATTGACAAACTAAAGCCCATAGGCAAAATTCAGTCAGCTGCCTAGTTTTGTAAGTAGTTCTACTGGAACCCAGCCACATCTATTCATTTATGTATTGTCTATGGGCTCATTTTTAGTTGCTACAGAGACTATATGGCCATAAGCCAAAAATGTTTCTGCTAAGCTCTGTTCTAGATTAGAGCTTTTTGATTGTTTCCTCACCATGAGCCCCAGAAACAAATGGTATTCATAAAGTATCCTGAGGGATCAGGGAAGGAGCATCTTAACAATCCTTTGGGGCATGCTACATGGAAAGGTCCACCCTAGGCCACTTGGGGCAGGGCATAACACAGCACATACTAGGGATACTCCTGACTGATAGCTCCATCTTCTTGAGAGAGCTGAGGAGTGATACATAATCTAAATCTTGGTTCTGAAGGTCTTATCTTTAGATTCCACATGGATTTCAACTTTGGCCAAGGCTGGTAACTGTTCCTGCTCATGGAGGTAGTGATCTACTGGGCAACCTGTCTTCCCATGCAATAGTCCCTGCTGTATAATTCAACACGTGGCTTCAAGACTAGACTTAACAGTACAAAAAGATGTTCCCACTGATGGGGTCAATGTGAGCCATTTGTGGTTTGAAACTCACTACAGCACATTGGTGTTAGAGCTATGCTGTGCCTCTGTATATGTAGTCAACATCTGTAACAGTTATTACAGCCCCTACCCCTCTCTCCTTGAACAATGCTCTAGTCAAGCACCCTTCTTCCAAACTGACTTCTCAGGGCCCAGGATACTAACTGATGTCCACAGCTTCACCTCTGTCTCCTAATCATTCCAGCTGTGAAATCCCAAGCATCCATCACATTTTGAAATCCCATCAATATATGCTTTCTTTCCCCCGTTTTATTATGGCATAAATTAACTGCAGAAGCTAAAACAAAAAGTGACCGTCCACTCTTTAGATTGCTATGGGGCAGAAAAGTGGGTCGAGAACCATTCAACCAATAGAAAGAATGAAACTGCACGTTTATTTTAAAGTATAAAATTTTTTTAAAAATCCAAAAAAAAAAAAACCCCAAACAAACCAAGCCTAATTAAAAAACAAAAAGCAATCAAACATAACCTTTCCAGTTTACATTAACTCTGAACATCACACATTATTTATTAACCACTTAGTTGCATTTTTTTAAAAAAAAAAAAACATCAATTATAAGGTAGAGGAAAATACAGTCAGGCAATAAGCTAGCAATCACAGTGAAACTATCTTAATGCTAAAATAAAACACTGATCTCATTTGAGAAAAGAAAGCAGAGATAATTTTCTGGTTGGTGTAGATTTTTTTGTATGTAAAAACAAAATCCTGGTTGGAATGAGTTAAAAAATATTGCTAGCCACTTATCTGACATCTTGACTGTGGTAGCGGGGGATCCAAAATCCTGCAGCTTTGGTGTCTTATTTATATATATATATGTGTGTGTGTGTGTGTGTATACATATATATATTTAAAAAATCCATTAAAAATCAAATCTGTAATAAAAATGTCCCTGTGTATGTTTTTAAAAACAGCATTAATAGACTCCCCTTATCTCCTAAAACCATTTGTTTTTCCTAAGATGCCTAGAAGCAGAAAAGCGCGTGAGATTAACTCACCACACAATTAATTAAAATTAGAATACTTTCCTCTAAACATCTTCCAGAGCACCAGAAAGAAGCAGGGGCCCACCAAAGGGAAAAACAAAGCCACTCTGACTCACAGAAGATGGCATGTGTAGCCAGTCACACGCTGTCTGCCATCCAAGTTATTTTTATTGGATTATTCAGGAAATAAGTACTATTTTAAAAATGAAAGACACAAGCAACCAGTTTCCTTTACTTAAAAAAAAAAAAAAAAAAAACAACAAAACAAAACCCAGTGGCTAGCTTTCCTGTAATATATTTTGGATTTGGTTAAAAAAAGAAAAGTCGACAGAAAGGGTCACTGAAGGCCACTTCATCCCCCCCCTTCCTGCTGGCTCTGTTTGAATTGGCGTCAAATAGGTTACTGACAGTTTCTTCTGCTGTGGAAAGAAGGCTTGAATAGGTGATAGCTGCCCAGAGTGGCTCCACCTGGTTCCAGTTCTGTCCCTCCTTGGTGTGGTTTCTTGCCCAACAATGCCTACGTTTTTAACCCATGTCTCCCTCACAGGGTGGGGCCTGTGGCTGGCCAGGCATAGAGAAGAAGGAAAACTAGCACAAATATAGACTAGAACTGAAGGACACATCTGTCTGCATCCTTCAAGAACTCCATAAATAATAACCTCAAAGGGCGACGACAACGCACAAATGCTTGGCACACTGGTCGGCCTGGGGTGACTTATCATTTTGCATTTTCTTTGGACCTTACTAAAGAAAAAACAAGACAAAAAAGAGACAGCTTTCCTATACACATATAAATAGTCCCTTAACTAGAAGGGAAAAAAACAAACACACTGTTTCAAATGCATTTCTAAGAGATTTTTAAAAATCCAAATGGAAAATCTTGACTCCAAACTGTCTATTGCCCATGTGTCTCAGAGGAGAAATTCTACGGGGATGTTAGGAGGGACCCGACCCTGACCCTAACTTGGGGCTCTGGTCCTGGACATTGGGTAGGAGGGTGTGAGCTGCATAGGTTGCTGGGAGCTCTCAGGGGAGGTACTGAATATGGCTCTTGTTTCCTCAGATCCAAATGCACAGGTGAAATCTGGGGTATAGAGGGAACTTGGGAGCCTGGGGTTGATGTTGTATGGATGAGCAAGACAGGCAGGGTGTGGTGTACTGGGGAAAAGGGCCAGATCAGATTGTTGGCTAACTCCAGTTGAGTCCTCATCCTCTGGCTATAGCAGGTCAGCTGGAGGCGTGACCTGCAGAAGCCAGGGAGAGGACCGTGGGGCCACACAGACCCAGGTTCTGATAGCATGTTGGTGCAGAGAACTTGGTCAAACTCACGTCAGATACTTTTCTGCTGATTCTGGGTCGAGGCTAATGATCCACACGCTGGAACAAGCTCTCCAAACAAGGATTCTGGGGCACATATCTAAAGCCAGAATCTACCCAGGGTCCTTCACAAAACCAAAATGACACTACTGAGAGCCAAAGGGTGTCCTCATGTCAAAGTTTTCTTTGGCCACTGCCTCTGCTGAAGTGAGAGCAAAGCTAGGATGATGCCAGGCAGGTGTGATGTGCACTTGGATGCATTTTAGGGTGGCCATCCAGTGATGGCCTCCTGGTAAGACCACCCAACCCAGATCCCCAAGTGGAGCTACGAGGGTGCAGCCCAGCAGAAAACCTGGTCCAGTGTCTTCTGCCCTTCTGGACATGCAACATGGAACAGAAACACTGCTTTCTCATAGATCATTGCATCCTGCTGCCTACAAATCTGCATCTGCTACTCAGAGGGATTCCAACATTAACAGAATGACGTAGAACATGAGGCTATGATTGTGGGCCCCATAGGAACAGTGACCTCACACAAAAGATGGCAATGCTTCATGTCAACTAAGAAGCCAGAAAAATGCCAGGTCTCCCTCCAAAGAATATCCTGCCATGTAGGGAAGGAGACGAATGGAGAGGCAGCTGACACAGCCAACTTCAACTTGAGACACCCTGAAAGGAGCTTCAGCAGCTTCTCATGGGCACATGTTGCTAGAATGTAACCCGTTGGAGCAGATGAGCCCATGTGGACTTTGGAACCGCTGGATTTATACTTGTTCAGTGCCCTCACTGGGCACAGAGTCCCTGGGCTGAGCGGTACTCTCCGCAGGGCCAGGCTGCCCTGGGCTGTGGCTGGTGGTGTCTTCCACACTTAGGAGGCTGCTGGCTGCCTGGGAACTGGCGCTGTCCGCGCTCCCCGACCGTGAGCGGTAAGGAGGCAGGTCGCCTTGGTTCAGGGACTCGGTGTCAGAGGAGTAGGGTGGTGGAGGAAGGTCATACCACGCAGGTCTGCAATGGAGAAAGCAGGTTGGGGTGGCAGGGATGGTGGGGAGTGGAGAGAATAGATTAGTGCTGAGACAGAGCAGGGGGCAAGGATCCCGTGCCAGCGTCAGTCCATTTCTGAGCTGATGCTTCAAGTGAGGAATGACCTTCCCTGCCACTGCAAGGGCAACTCAAGGACAAGGAAAACCAGTGGTTTGAAACCAGAGAAAGAAAACAGGTCAGTGTGCTTTGGCTGGTTCATATCCTCTGGGCAGGGCCAATACCCCGTCCTCTGTGTGGACCCAGAAGGAGGGTGCCAAGCTTAACCTGGGTTGTCTGGCAGAGCTGCTCTGCTCCTGGCTGAGGGCCCCACGCCAAGGGGCTGAGCTGGCATCTCAGCCGAGCCTTTGATGGGCCTCAGAATTTGGGGTTCTCACTAGAGCCAACTCATGCTGTGGACTTGGGTAAGTGAGAGGACACTCTCTCAACACTTCTATCTCTATCTGTACCTTGCTTGAAATGAAATCACTTAACAGAAAACACATTGTTTTCTTAGCTCCTGTTACTGAAGGCTTGCTCCAGTTGGGCACTGTGCTGTGCACTTCCTGTCCCCATCTTCCATGCCCACAAAGGAGGTGGGCATTACTTCTGTGCCCATTGTACTGGTGAGGAAACTGAGGCACGGGGATGGGAAACGGCTTGCTTGTAACCATGACAGCAGTGCTGGGATTGGAACCCAGGTACCCAGCCTTCAGGTTCATCAGTGATGATACTGTGGGGTGTCACTGGTGAATGTCGGTCTCTGCCACTACCTACAGCCACCCAACCCAGGCTCTGGGAAAGGAGCTAGGTGTATGCACATAGGCCCCTCCCCCGGGTTCTGCAGTCCACCACGCACCTTTGGTCCAGTAGGGCCTCTGAGTAGGAGGGCGGGGAGCCCACTTCCGAGGCGTTCTGCTCAGCCTGGCTGGCCACGTACTGGATGCCGTTGTTAACATTGTAGGTGACGTTGCAGTGGTGGGGGTGGTCCAGGACCACCAGGCGGGACAGCAGCACAGGGTGCTGCAGCCGGTGCACGGGCAGCGTCATGAGGTTATTCCTCTTTCGCTGGTGATGCAACACCAGAGCCAGCAGGGCCACCACCAGCACGAAGATGACGGAGCTGCCGATGATGGCGTAGGTGATGCTGGGGTAGTACACGAGCTGGTTCTCCGAGGTCACGAACACCTGTCCGCTGCCCGGCTCTGGGAGACAAGGGGAAAAGGTTCCAGGTTAGCCCACATTTGCCTTTTGACATCAGCCCTAGGACTCACATGCAAATGTTGACAGTGTCACCATTTACAAGTGCAGCGACGGTGAGCAGGTAAACAGAAGGAGATACATCCATGCGCTGAGTAGTTATCCAGCTAACACCGTGGCCAGTGCTGACATGCTACAGGGATGGGGGAGGCTTCAAAAACAGTTCCATAAAAGAAGCCAGCCCCAGGAAATGTAATGAACATCCAGGGGACAGGAGCGAGAGTTCTCATGGCAGGAATTGGGTTTTCACTGGAAACTGGTAACATAACTATATGAGGGACACGAGGTGTATCTGGGCTCCTTGTCTGTAGAGTGTCTGATGCCAGGTCCCAGGTGGATCCTTCTAGACTGAACACTAGTGTGGCTCAGGCTGACCATGGAATCTGGTGTCACACTTGGTCCCAGTCCTGGCCCCTCAGCTTACTCGCTGTGTGCCCTTGGAAAAGTGCTACCTGCACAGGGCTGCAAAAGGGGGACAGGCACTCTCTGGGCTTCTGGAGTCTGGAATATGTCAACAAGGATCAAGCTCTTCAACAAGGGCTCAGACCTCTCGACACTTAAGATGCTCAGGTAAGAGGCTTCCCAGCAGGTGGGACACACTTGGCCTCCATAGGAAGGTCCAGGCAGGCACAGGACACCACAGCAGCCCTCCCCAGATGTTGGAGACCCCTGCCTGTGCAGAAGTCCACAGCCACTCCCAGCTGCAGCAATTATCCAAAGGCAGCCCCAGTGAGCAAATGTAGTGACCACAGCACTATGCTGTCCCACCTGTGAAGCAGTGAGGAGGTTTTTGTGGGTCCCCAGTGGCCAAAATATAGACCAGAAGTAGCAGTAGTGCTAAGAGCTTTACTCTGATCCGCAACACAAGCTGTGTGTCTATTTTATTCATTACTGCATCCCCAGGGTATAGTACAATGCCTGGTACACAATAGGCACTCAATTAATGCATACAACTCAAGGGAAAAATCTGTTTATTTACACCCTCTAGTAAATTAGGTTCCCTTATTATTTCTATTTTTCAGATGAGCAAATTGGCTCAGAGAGGTGAATTAAGGTCACTTTGGAAGACGAACCAGGGCTGGAACCCAGATATTTCTCCTTCAAAAAACCCACATGCCATGAAACACAGTTTCTTCTTCCCATTTATGATATAAAGATTTCCTGTTTCCCCAAATAATTCTTTTTTCTTTTTTTTTTTTGTACCTGGGGATTGAACTCAGGGGTGCTTGACCACTGAGCCACATCCCCAGCCCTATTTTGTATTTTATTTAGAGACAGGGTCTCACCGAGCTGCTTAGCACCTCGCTTTTGCTGAGGCTGGCTTTGAACTCATGATCCTCCTGCTTTAGCCTCCTAAGCTTCTAGGATTACACGCTTGCACCGCCACACCCAACCCTAAATAATTCTTATCTGAGACAAATGAAGACCCCCCCTCAAACTCCCATTTCTCTGTTAATTTTTCTTTCCAGCCACACCAAAACATGAACCAAAAACTTCCAAGATTCTCCAAGTTCACTTCAATGTGCATTACAGATTTTAATTGTGCAGAAAGACGTCAAGATAACTCTAGTGAAAAACAGGACCACTCTGCCACACAGTTAAGGGAAGGAGGTGATTTGGGATTTTTCTGGAGACAATAGTAACTGTCACTCTTTTCTTAGCTTAATTAAAAACTGTTTGGGGACTTGTGTGTGTGTGTGTGTGTGTGTGTGTTTCAGAATTCAGGCTTCAAATATTGCTATTTTATTACCTCACAGACAGAGCTACAAAGTCTCAGAGACTTGAGGTGCTATCCTCGAGCCATCAAGGACTGGATGCTTGGGCTCAAGAAAGTTATGTAATTTTCCTAAGCCTCAGTGCCTCATTTTTAAAGAGACAGCAGGCAGTACCACGTGAGAACGGCACACATCTCCCTGGATTATGAGGGGTGCAATATATACATAAGGGCCGAGAACGGGGCCCGACAAGGGTTTGCACTCAGTCATGCTAGTTCTTTTAAAAAGTGATCATTAAAAAATTATGACGATGATAAAATATATATATATCACCCAAACGCTTTCTAAATGTGTGGCTTAGGGGCATGAAGCACATCACAGTGCTATGCGCCATTCTCCACTATCCATCTTCAGAATTTTCCCTCAGCTCTAACTAGCTAGTCCCAGTTCTCAGGGTTCACATTCTCCAGTTATTCTTTTCAACTTTTCTGGACCAGTGGCAGAAAAGGGAAAGCACCCCCTTTGGCAGGTAGCGTGGGGTAGATTTTCACACGGAAAACAAAGGGCCCAGAGAGGTTTAATTGCTGACTTCTGTGTAACCATTTGCAGTATTTAGTATACAAGTGGGGTGTGATGGGGTGGTGGTGCACACCTGTAATTCCTGTGACTCGGGAGGCTGACGCAGGAGGATGGCAAGTTTGAGGTCAACCTCATTAACTTAGTGAGACTGCGTCTTAAAGTACAAAATAAAATGGGGTGTGGATATGGCTCAGTGGTAGAGAACCCCTGAGTTTGATCCTCTGTACTGAAGAGGGAAAAAAAAAGAAGAAATGGGGAGCCCTTTAAAATGAATAAAAAGTAAATGCCTTTGGATCATAACGATCTCACTGTCTCCAGACGGGCCCGCTTTGGCAGGCGAGAGGCTGTGATCACGTTGGCTGGAGAAATTATGATGTTGTATAACTCAGTGGTGCCTGGTCTCATTTTTGCTCTATGTGTAGAATGTCATCTCGTATTAATTCATTAACTAGACCCACTTTTCTTAAGAGCTTAATGAGCCTGCTGGCCAAATTACTAATATCAGAGTTGCCTGGGTCCTACGTTCCAAGTGCGTAATCCCCGGATAATGAAGTTTCCATTTTTTCTGGCTGTCCCCCAAGCTAATGCCCTCGTGCCCCCCTGCCACACATCCTGGATCCCCACCCTGTGCCTGCAACTCTACTGCATCGATTCCAGGCAATCTGCTACCACCCCGAAGCCATGGCTCTCTCTAAACGGCTGTCGCCGGCAGCTCCTAGTGGCGCGGGCTGTGTTTGCACGGCCCCTGGGTGCTCTTCACCTCAAGTTGTCACACGTTTGTGCAGTTATCATGCCAGTCTTCTAGCAGATGGCAGTGGAGCATCCTGAGGAGCAATGCGTCTCGCTAATGCACTCAGAGGTGCAGTCTGCTTGGGCAGAGGTGCCAGGGCAGCTGGTACTTGTGACTCGGTGCTCCCTTCCTTCTGCGGCATTCCTTCCTCCAGATGCAAACTCAGTTTCCTACAGGACACTATTTTTTTTTTTTGCCCATCAGATTGGCAAAGGCCCAGTGTGAGCTCACGTTTTGTTGGCCAGGTCTTGGGAAAACAGGTATCTCGGTGCCTGGTATATATGCAAGCAGGTGGGGGGGTGATTGATAGAAAGTGGGGCAGGCAGGGAGGGACTAAGAGGGTGGAAACTATGGTGGTGAGAGGTGGGACTTTGGGAGGTGAGGACTAGACAGGGTCATCAGGGTGCAGCTCCCGTGCATGAGTCCTGGTGGTTTAATAAGAGGTGGGAGAGAACAGAAGAGACAGACGCCATGCTCCCTGTCTCATGCCACATAGTGTCCTCTACGCCCTCGGGATTCTGCCAGCAAGAAGGCCCTCACCAGATGCAGAAGAATACGTAGCATAGTTCTGGAAGGATGCACAGACATGATGATGCTGGTAGCTTCTAGAGAGGGGAACAGAGGCTGGTAGAATGAGGCAAGAGGCTCCTCCTTGGCTACTTTGCACCTTTGTACTGGATTATCTACCAAGAAAAACAAACACAGCCTCTCTTCCTTCAGCTCAGCCTGGGCTCAGCGTCACTGTGTCCCTCCCATCTCTCCTGTAGCTGCAAGGCTTCCTGGGGCTCATGCCTCCAGGCCTGTGGTCGCGGTGGGTGGGGGGCATGGTCACAGAGGGACGCCTTGCTGAGGAGAAACTCCTGGAGGATGGCCCCCGCCTGCAGCCTGACCTCTTGAGTTGAGAATTCCTGTTTGGGAATATCTGCTGCAAAAATGAGCAGCTACGCCTTCGGGGCTCTTCCTTGCCTCAACATTCTTTCCAGCTCCCCTGGAGTTGGTCTCCTCCTCTCCATCCCAGCCATGGGAACCACTAGTCTGTTTCCAGTATCTGGATCTGGATCTCCTTTCCCAGAAAGCCACAGGTAGAATCGAGCAGATGGAGCCTTCCACATCTGGCTCCTTTCTCAGCTCACTGCCTGAGATCCACCCAGGTTTCCCTGAGTGGCATTCAGTGGCAGAAGCACCAAGTCTGTTTGGCGATTCCCCAGCTGAGGTTGGGGACACGCCTGCTCCCAGTTTTGGGAATGCAGGTCTTCCTTGGGCACAGCAAGGACAGATAGCTGGTTCGCTGGGCAGCAGAGGTGTGACTTGACAAGTACCGTCCCACTGCTCTGCGCAGCTGCAATGGTGTTCTGAACACCCCCCACCCTGCCCCGCAGCATCTGCGTGTGAGATCCCATGGCCCTGCATTCCCATCAGCACTTGGCATCGCCATCCTCCGCATTTCAGCCACTCCTGCGGGTGCCCAGGGTGTCTCGGTGCCTCGCTGAGGCTTCACTTGGCATTTCCTCAGGACTCACGGGGTTGAGCACCCGCTCACACGCTCTCTGTCACTTCACATGGTCTCTGACAAAGAGTGGCCTACTTTTAAATTGGATTGCTTGATTTATCAGTGGGTTGTAAGAGTGCTTCCCGTGCCCTGGACGCAAGCCTTTCATCACAAACATATTTTGCAAAGAGCCTCCCAGCTTATGTCTGGACTTCTCATCTGCTTTAGTGTCTTTTCAAGAGAAGTTTTTTTTCTTTCTTTTTTCAATTTTATGAAGTCCATTGCATCAATTCTTTCTTAATGGTCTGTGTCGTTTATATACTCTTCAAGGAATCTTCTCTAAATCTCTGTCTTGAAGGAGTTTTACAGCTT